GGAGGAGAAAGATTAGGAAGAGGAAGAAGAAGGAAGAGGAGAGAATAGAAGAAGAAGAGGAGGAAGAGAAGGAGGAAAAGGAGAACGAGAAGGAGGAGATGGAGACAAGTAGAAAGTACTGTAAAGAAGGAAGAAGAGAAGGGCGATAAATTAGGCAAAAGAAGTAAATGAGATAAATGAGGGAGGAGAAGAAGAAGGGGGGGAAAAAGATGAGGAAAAAGAGAGAAAAGTTAAGGATTCGTTCTCCTGTGTTGGTTCATGTACCATCATGCGAGATCTTTGCGGTATGTGAACGAGCCAGTTTTTCTTCTCTTTTTTTCCTTTCTTTTTTCTTCCTTTCTCTCTCTCTCTCTCTTTCTCTCTCTCTCTTCTTCCTCTTCGTGTGTGAGCATTTACGCACATTAAACTTTTGCAGTTGACGCAACATCTACTTCTTTTGTTGCTCTTGTAGTCATGTCTTTTGAAGTCAATTTATAGTCATTTTTGAAAACTTTTTTTTCTGTTTTTTGAAGTCAATTTGAAGTCATTTTCGTCATTTTTTAAAAACTATGTTTTATTTTTTTTTAAGCTTTTTCTGCTTTTTTGAAGTCATTTGAGTCATTTTCGTCATTTTTGAAAGCGAATTTTTGTTTTGTTTTTTTCTGTTCTTTCCTTTGCTTTAACTTTATTCATGATAAGTCTGAGTCATGTTATACATTTTTATCTCCATTTTCTAAGAGGATGTAATCATATCCTGATTTTTATACGGCAAATCATAGCTGATAACACATTAATCGATTTAGTGACGATGGCGTAACACGATGCGATAAGGAGAGAGAGAGAGAGAGAGAGAGAGAGAGGAGAGAGAGAGAGAGAGAGAAGAGAGAGAGAGAGAGAGAGAGAGAGAGAGAGAGAGAGAGAGAGAGAGAGAACGTCATTAATAAAGAAAGATAACCAAATAACAATTATAAAAACAACAACAATAACAATTCCTCAAAAAACAAATCCAATCCACAATGTAAACAAATCTAACCCACTGAATTAAACCCTCATCGGCAACCCCTTAACACAGACATCCCTCAACACGTGACAAACTTTCCCCCACTCCCCTCCCCCTCCCCCCTTCTTCGCACAAATCAAAACAAACAGAAAAGAAAAATTTTTGCAACACCAAAACCGAGAAGACGAGACAAGTTCCCTCGCTCGCCACCGCACTTGTGAGGGCGCCAGCGTCGTCAGGATGGCAACATTCAAAATAAACTTTAAGAGTTTTTTTTTTTTTTTTTTTTTTTTGTGCCTCCCAAGATATCAGATGCGTTCGATTTTTAATATGTGTTCGTTTGTAAACACGGCTTCGTTTTGGAGACAAGTGGTGTCCGATTCGCTGCGCGGAGTCTTTGGTTATTTATTTTCTCTGGTGATACAGTTTCAAAATCAATAATTAATCTTTTATTAGTAAAACTAACTAAATAAAATTTGTGGTTCTTGAGATTTTTCTCCAAAGTGTAAAGAGAGTGGACTTCTCTTCTTCATGTTAAGAAAATAAGAAACAAACAAAAATTGTAGTCCTAATAAAAATAATCAAAATACCTACGTACCATTTGCTTTATTAAAAATTGTTTTTATTTGTGTTTTGAGAGAGCGGAGGGGGGGGGGGGTAATTGAGTTCAGAGGGCAAGAAGTGGAACCCAACCTACAAGAGATAAGATAGCAACATATCAACTTGGCAAGACGTTAAAGATAATGAGATAAGACCAACCCCAAACCCCGAAGCGCAAGATACCAAGCCGCTAAAGATAGCAAGCTAGCGCCACCCGAAGCCGTTAGTGCTACAAAATAGCAATAAGCTTGAAAGGCAAAGACAGTGCACCAAGATAGCAAACTCCGCTAAGATAGCAAGCTAGCGCCACCCAAAGCTACCAGTGCTACAAAAATAGCAATAACCCTGAAAAGCAAAGATAGTGCACCAAAATAGCAAAAGTCCGCTAAGATAGCAAGCTAGCGCCACCAGTGCTACAAAATAGCAAACAAAGCAAAGACAGTGCACCAAGAAAGCAAAAGTCTGCTAAAGATAGCAAGCTAGCGCCACCAGTGCTACAAAATAGCAAAACGCTGGAAAGGCAAAGACAATACCCCAAGAAAGCAAAACTCCGCTAAAGACAGCAAGATAGCGCCACCCACCCAGTCCCCCTCGAGCTACAAAATAGCAAAACGCTCGGAAGGCACAGACACCAAGATAGCAGAGTCCGCTCGAGATAGCAGAACAGATAGCAATACGCCAGGGAGGTCGTGTTCTTGGCAGCATCAAGATCAGGCAAAGTGGACGAGCGACGAAGCAGCTGACGGAGGAGGCGATGCTGGCGAGGGTCAGCCTCCCGCCCATGACAACAAGATAAACAAAGTGCTCAGCGGAGACTACGCCCGCAGCCCCGTCAGCCCGCCCGCGCGCATACACGCCCGCAGTGTGGGGAGGAGGGGAGGGCGGGAGGGGGAAGAGAGGAGGGGTGGAGGAAAGAGGGGGAGAAGGAAGAGGGGAGGAGGGGAGGGAGGAGGAGGAGGAGAAGAGGAGGAGGAGGGGGGAGGGAGGGAGGAGAGGATTAGAGGGGAGAAGGAGGAGAGGGTTAGAGGGGGAGAAGGAAGAGGGGAGGAGGGAGGAGGTGAAAGAGAGGGGAGGAGGAGAGGGAGGAGAAGGAGGAAGATGAGAAGGAAAAAGAGTTTTTATACACATGACTAGAAAGAGTAGGAAGAGAAATGCAAAGAGAAGAAGGAAAAGAAGGAGGAGGAGGAGGAAGGAAAAAGAGCATCTCATCCTCAACCTCCCTCATTAAAAAAAAATTTTCCTTTCGTAATTTTTCTCTTTATCTTTACTTTGGTGTATGTTTACGGGTGCACCAACTTACGTGCTGTCCAAGGTACGGAATTTCTCTTATCTGGGCACGGATTACTGGTTGCACCGAACACGCGCTAGATATATCTTTATCGTTTTTTTTTCTATCTCTTTCTCTTCTCTTTCCTCTTCGCTTTCTCTGTGGTTTTATCTTTGGTCTTTCTCTTTCTTGATTTCTTTCTTGTTCTCGCTCTTTTGTTTTCTCTCTCTCCTCTCTCTCTCTCGCCAGCACTCTCTTTCTCTCTCTCCTCTCTCTCTTTTCCCCTCCCATCTCCTCTCTCTTCCCCTCTCTCCCTCCTCCTCCCTCCTCCCTCCTCCCTCCCTCCCTCCTCTCCCTCCTCTCCTCCCTCCCTCCTCCTCTCCCTCTCTCTTCCTCCCTCCCTCCTCCCTCTCCCCCTCTCCTCCCTCCCTCTCCTCTCCTCCTCCCTCCCTCCCTCCTCTCTCCTCTCCCTTCCCTCTCTCTCCTCTCTCTCTCTCCCTCTCTCTCTCCCTCTCTCCTCTCCTCTCCTCTCCCTCCTCTCTGTGTATCTGGTCTACGTCAACGAAGTGATGATAAAAACGGTGCACAGGCAAGCTACTGTTGTCTGGCTTGTGCTCATCAATTTATTTTTTTCGTTCAATGTTTTTTTTTTCTTCTACTATCGGTGTATTCTATCTCTCCTCTCTTTTCCTCTCTTCTCTCTGTCTCTCTCTGTCTCTCTCTCTCTCTCTTTTCTCCCTCTCTCTCTTTATCTATCTATCTATCTCTCATATTCCTCATCCATTCCTTTCTTTTCCTACTCTTTGTTTTCCCCCCCCCCTTTCCCCCTCCCATCTCCCTTCTCTCTCCCCCCTTTTTTGCCTCCTTCCCTCCCTCCTCCTTCTCCTTCCTCCCTCCCTCCCTCTTCCACCACCCTACCCCTGTTCTTCCTCCCTCCTCCTCCTCCCACCCCCCCCCTACTCTGTTCTTCCTCCTCTCCCTCCTCCCTCCTCCCTTCCTCTCCTCCCTCCTTCCCTCCTTCCTCCTTCCTCCTCCTCCCTCCCTTCCTTCCTTCCATCCTCCTTCTCCCTCCCTCCCTCCCTCCTTCCTCCTTCCCTCCTTCCCTCCCTCCTCCCCTCCCTTCTCCTCCCCTCCTCTCTCCTCCTCCTCCCTCCTCCCTCCTTCCACACCCCCTACCCTGTTCTTCCTCCCAGCACCTCCCAGCGACCCAGACAATGTAAACAAACCCTGCATTACCTCCGACTGAAAAAAAACAAAAAAAAAAAACGGGAAGCGCAAAGATGACGACGATAAACACGATAGCAAGAGAAAGAGAATTAATACCTTCCGTGATAAAGGAGAGGGGAGGGGAGGGGAAGAGGGGAGGGGGAGGGAGAAGGGGAGAGAGGGGGAGGGAGAGGGAGAGGGGGTGAAGAGAGAGGAAGGGGAGAAGAGAGAGGAGGGAGAGAAGAAGGAGAGGGGGTGAGAGAAGAAAGAGGAAGGGGAGGGGAGAAGAGGGACAAGGGAAGGAGAAGAGAGAGAGAGGAGGGGGGGGGGGGAGAAGGTAATATAGCTGCCGCCAGATGAAAGCGTGTGATAAGCGTAATCAATCGAGTGGCCTTTTGTGACACCTGAATCGTGGCTGGATTTTTTTTTTTTTCTTCTTCTTCTTCTTCTTCTTTTTTTTTTGTTTGCCTTTGCTCTCAGTTATCTTGGTGTTTTCTGCTTTTCTTGCTCTGTGTCTGTTTCTCCCCTCTTCATGTTCTGACAATTGTTCTCCATCTATTTATCTATTTATCTATCGTGATTTCTCTCCTTATCCTTTACTTTCTTCTCCTTACCCACCATCCTTGTCTCTATCCCTCTCTCTTCCCATTCGCTTATTCAAAAAAAACAAATTGTTGCCATGTACCCACGCACGAAACACACAACACACAAGAAACCACAACAAGCACACCCGCATACACACACACCACAACACACACAACACACACACACACACACACACACAGCACAAAGAGAAAAATCGACAAAGGCCTTTAAATAAAAAAAATCTCCGCCCAGATCTAGACAGCAAATCCCGCCGCTCTTAATACTCCTCAGATACACAAAGAAACTTCAACCAACAGATATCAGCTTTCAGAATCTTTAGTCAAGCCTTAAACGTTTTTTAAGAGGCGGAGGAGACCCCACAGCAAGGACGGGACACAGAAAGGACGGGACCCCACACCCCACGGAAAGGACGGGACACCCACAGAAAGGACGGGACCCACGGAAGGACGGGACAACCCACAGAAAGGACGGGACCCCACGGAAAGGACGGACGCCACACGGAAAGGACGGAGACCCCACGGAAAGGACGGGACCCACGGAAGGACGGGACACCCACATAAAGGACGGGACCCCACAGAAAAGACGGACCCACCGGGACCCACGGAAAGGACGGGACACGGGACCCCACGGAAAGGACGGGACACCACGCCCCTTCGAGGTCAGAGGTCATCCTTAGATTGTGGAACAGAGAGTCATTCTCATAGAAAGTAGAGTTGGGGGAAATGCAGGTGTGTGTGTGTGTCTGTGATTGGGGGAAATGAAGGTGTGTGTGTGTGTTTGTTTTGTTTGTGTGTGGTGTGTGTGTGTGTGTGTGTGTGTGTGTGTGTGTGTGTGTGTGTGTCTGTGATTGTGGGTGTGTGTTGTGTGGTGTGTGTGTGTGTGTGTGTGTGTGTGTGTGTGTGTGTGTTGTGTGTGTGTGTGTGTGTGTGTGTGTGTGTGTGTGTGTGTGTGTGTGTGTGTGTGTGTGTGTGTGTGTGTGTGTGTGTGTGATTACATTAATCTTTCCATCCGTTTTTGGTGGGTTTTCTATTTCTCTCGTTTTTCTCCCTTTTTTTTAAACCTCATTTTCTCTTTCTGTTGTTTGTTCTCTCACTTTTTTATTCGCGTTTCTCTGTAACCCTTTCATTCCCTCCCAGCTCTTAGTCGTCTTCCATTGGCCTTTACCTCCTCTTCCTCTCTGTTTTGCTTCTCTCTTCCTTCCTCCATTCTCCTCATACTCCAATTCACCTCTCTTCACCCCATCCCCTCTTTTCTCCTTCTTCTCCTCCCTTCTCCCTCTTCCTTTCCATCTCTTCTTTCACCTCTTTCTTCCTCTCTTTCTCCTTCTTTCAACCCTTCTTTCCTCCTTTTCCCCCTTCCCTTCTTCTCCCTCTCTTCTTCTCCTCCTCTTCTTCTCTCCCTCCCTCTTTCCTTCCTTCCTCCCCTCCTTCCCCTCCCCTCTCCCTCCTCCTCCCTCCCTCCTCCTCCTCCCCTTCCCCCTCCCCTGCTGCAGCGCGCGCACCCTCCGGCAGGAAATATTACTTAGCGGCTCAACGCAGCGGCTGTTTTTGCTCGAAGGGCGCGTCTCCCTCGCGACAGTTTCTTCGCTGAGGGTTACATCCTGCTCTGGAGGCTGGGGGGGGGGGAGAGGAGGGGAGAGGGGAGGGAGGAGGTCCTACGAGGGTGGAGAGAGAGGGGAGAGGAGGGGGTATTAGGAGGGTGGAGAGAGGGGAGAGGAGGGAGGAGGGGGAGGTCCTAGAGGGTGGAGAGAGGGGGGGAAGAGGGGGGGGAGGTTCTAGTGGAGAGAGAGGGGGAAGAGGGGGTGTCCTAGAAGGGTGGAGAGAGGGGGGAAGAGGGAGGGGTCCTAGAGGGTACAGGCGGATAGAGGGGGGTAGATGGGGGTGGAGGACTCCAAGGTGGGCGGGGTGATGAGGTGTTGGGGAGTGGGTAGCACACTGCACATCCCTCCGGAACACGCCCACGTACAAGGGTGGGGGTAGGAGGGAGGGAGGGAGGGGGGTTGCAAGCGTAGAGAAGAGTGCAGGCGTTTTGCAATATAAAACACTGGCTCGGAGGAACTTCTTGCAAAAGGTAAATGATTATTTTAGGGGCGGGAACGTTTTAGCTCAGAATATAGGACATTCGTCATCATATACAAGCACTTTTTTATCTCTCTTTATTTATTTATTTATTTCTCTATTTCTTTCTCTTTCTCCTTCTCTTTTCTTCTTCTACTCTCCTTCTTCTCTCCTCTCCCTCTCCCTCTCCTCTCCCCTCTCCCTCTCCTCTTCTCTTCTCTCTCCTCTCTCTCTCCCTTCCCCCTCTTCCTCTCCTCTCTCTCTCCTCTCCCTCTCTCTCTCTCTCTCCTCTCTCTCTCCTCTCCTCTCCCTCTCTCCCTCTCCTCTTCTCCTTTCCTCCTCCTCTCTCCCTCTCCTCTCTCTCTCTCTCTCTCCCTCTCCTTCTCTCCTCTCCTAAAAAGAATAAATAACTGAAAAAATATCATAAAATAACATCACGCAAGACCTTCTAGAACCACCACGGAGCTCATTAGGTCGCTAATCGCCTGGCAAGAGCTGAGTCTCGCTCTCGCTCGCGTGCGCTCCAGCAACCTCAAGTCGCAATAATTTTATATGCACTGCACTTATCTTTATACACATCTTCCAACCTTCGCCTTCGCCTTCACCTTCGTCTTCGCCTTCACCTAAACCTTCGCCAGGGACCAAGGTGAAGAAAGGTCAGCTGAACCTTGGTCTGCAACATGACCTTATGCCCTTGCAAGGTAACAACTACATCTTTTTTTTCTGGGGAGGGGAGAGAGGAGGAGGGAGGGGGGGAGGTGGACATGGAGAGGGAGGGAGAGGAGGGGGAGGTTGGAGTGGGGGGAGGGAGAGGGGGATTGAATGGCGAGTGGGTAGGAAGAGTTGCAAAGGGAGGAGGAGGGAGAGGTGGGGAGGGGGAAGAGGGAAGATACAAAGGAGAGAAGGGAGAGGGAGATTGCAATAGAAAGGAGGGAGAGGGAAGATGCAAAGTATGGAAGAGAGAAGGAGATTGCAATAGAAAGGAGGAAGAGAGAGATGCAAAGAAGAGAAGGAAGAGAAGGACTGCAATAGAAAGGAATAAGAGGGGAGATACAAAGTAAGGAAGAGATAAGGAGATTGCAATAAAAAGGAGGAAGAGGGAAGATCCAAAGAAGAGAAGGAAGAGGGAGACTGCAATAGAAAGGAGGGAGAGGAAGATGCAATAGGGAGTGGACAGAAGGATCTGCAATGAGGAGGAGGGAGAGAAGGAGTTGCAATGGGCAGAGGGATGGTGTCTGAATCTCCATTGTCTATCCTGTGGCTGTGACATTAACCATCCTCTCCCTGTAAGGATGTGCTGTAGGGAGGCGTCTAAGGGAGGAAGGGAGGAAGGCAGGAGAAGAAATAAAAACGGGAAGGGTTTGGGAAGAGGGAGTAGGAAAGAGAGTTGGGAAGGGTTTGGGAAGATGAGAGGGAGTAGGAAAGAGAGGGAAGTGAAAGAGGAAGGCAGGAGAAGAAATAAAAACGGGAAGGGTTTGGGAAGATGAGAGGGAGTAGGAAAGAGAGGGAAGTGAAAGAGGAAGAGAAGAAATAAAAACGGGAAGGGTTTGGGAAGATGAGAGGGAGTAGGAAAGAGAGGGAAGTGAAAGAAAGAAAGGAGAGGAGGGGTAGATTAGGAGAGACAAGGGGGGAAGGAGAGGGAGAGGAGGGGTAGATTAGGGAAGACAAGGGTGACGTGGGGAAGGAATAGATGGAGTAAAAGAATGGAGTTAGGATATGGGAGAAGCAGGAAAAAGGAAGAAGACGGGGAGAAGTAAAGAGAGAAGGAGGGGACAAAGCAAAGGAGGAGAGGAAGAGGGGAGGACAGGAATAGATTTGAGGAGAAGAAAGGATGAGGAAAAGAGAAAGGAGAGGGAAGTGGGGAAGGAGGGAAGGGAGGGGCGGAAATACGAGAATAAATATAAGGACATAATTAGTGGGAATGGCATATATAAGGCAGCTTATACTGCCCTGGAACCTGATATCCGACATCAACACAAACAAACCCTTAGATATAGCAGACCTTCCCAGGAGGAGGAGGAGGAGGAGGAAGGAGAGGAGGAGGAGGAAGGAGGAGGAGGAGAGGAAGGAGAAGGAGGAGGAAAAAGGAGGAGAGAGAAGAAGTAGAAGGAGGAGGAGAAGAAAGAGGAAGAAGAGAAGAAGAGAGAGAGAGGAGAGAGAGAGAGAGAGAGAGAGAGAGAGAGAGAGAGAGAGAGAGAGAGAGAGAGAGAGAGAGAGAGAGAGAGAGAGAGAGAGAGATAAAGACCAATAATCATATGCAGGGTCACGCATGAATTCAGACCCCCAGAAGAACTCATCCCATCCCGAATATCTCTCTTTCAATAAATCTCTCCTGGTTATATATCTCTCAATATTTTCACCAAAACGAAATAAATCTTTTAAAAAAGCTGTTTAAAAATCCCACGAAGACAAGAGCCCCAAATCCCCCATTACTGAAAAGGCACAAAATGGAATCCGAACCACCAGATCGGGATTAATATTATCGTGATTATCATTCCTCGCCATGTCATCCAGACTCCGTTTTCTTTAACACTTAACCTTGTGGGGGGCGATGGGGAGGGAGGGGGGGAGGAGGGGGGAAGGGGGAGGAGGGGAAGGAGGGGAGGAGGGGGGGAGGGAGGAGGGGGGGGAAGGAGGGGAGGAAAGGATGAAAGGAGGGGGGTGGGAAGGGGGAGAAGAAAAGGAGGGAGGGAAGGAAGGAGGGGGAGAGGAAAGGAAGGGAGGGAAGGAGGGGGGAGGGGAGGAAAGGGAAGGAGGAAGGGGGGGGATCTAGAGGAGGAGGAGGACGCGTGGGTGAACCGTTGCTCTATGACGTCACAAGATTTCAATGGCTCGGGAGACGCTACACGAAGGTCTACACTCGCGGTTTCGGAACGAGTGTAGATTTCTGCATTTGCGGTCTGCTCGCTTGACTCGTGGGTGGGGGGGGGGGGATGGGGAGTGGGGGGGGGGCGTCGCGTGGGGGGTTGTGGGCTCGGGTGTGATTTGGGTGCGTTTTTTATTTGTTTTTTGTTTTTTGTCAATTTTGTCTTGTTTGTCTCTCTCTTCCTCTCTCTTTCTCTCCCCTCTTCTCTTCCTCTATCTATCTTTCTCTCCTCAATTTATCTATCTATCCCTTACTGTATAAACCTTAAATCTCCCCAACCTTTTTTAAACTAAGCCCCCTCCCCCCCCTCTTAATTAACCCCACGAAACTGACACTATCGCCCCGCCATCGCCACGACCCGCTTCACCTGACACTGACACTGTGACACCTCCCCCCCCCTTGTCAGTGCCACATCAACATCATCTGATCACCATCATAACACCCCCTCAAATCACCTCAACGCCGCAAGCACTTCACAAGCACTTCAATTTCACAAGCACTTCACAAGACGGGTCCTTGCTTCACCACACTCGCAAATGGTCTTGCATCGTCTTCAGCATCCTAGTCGCCTCTTAAGCATCTCTTTCCCAAGAGATGACCTGAGTTTATAAACCTTTGACTGACTGATTCGACTGAAACGGTGAACGAGGTAAAGAGTTTTTAAACCTTTTGACTGATGTCTTACGGGTGAACGAGGTAAAGAGTTTAAAACTTTTGACTGATATCTTACGGGGTGAACGAGGTAAAGAGTCTAAAAAACCTTTTGACATGTCTAACGGGTGAACGAG